TTTGGTTTTGGTTCTTTTTCTAAAAAAGAACTCCCCAATGGGTTTCGGCCCGTCCCGCCGGCCGCCCCCCAAGACCCGTAAGACGCACACGCCATCGCCCAAGACGGCCCAAGATGGCTCAAGATGGCGTCCAAGATGGCCAAGATGGCCCAAGATGGCCTCCAAGATGGTCCAAGATGGCCTCCAAGTCCGCCCAAGATGGTCCAAGACGGCCTCCAAGACGGCCCAAGAGAGTCCAAGACGGCCCAAGACGGCCCAAGAGGCCTCCCAGAGGCCTCCAAGACGGCCCAAGAGGGCCTCCAAGAGGGCCTTTAGGTTTTCGAAGGATTTGGGGATTTGCTTCTTCTCGGCATTCCGACGGCTCAAGACGGCCCAAGAGACCCCCAAGATCGCCCAAGAGAGCCCCATAACGGCCCAAGTGGCCTCCAAGACAGCCCGAAGAGAGCCCCAAGACGGCCCAAGAGACCTCCAACACGCCCAAGATGGCCTCCAAGAGGCCCTAGATGGCCTCCAAGACGGCCCCGAAGCGCCCCAAGAGGGCCCCAAGTCGGCCCAGAAAGGCCCCCAAGACGGCTCCCGACGGCGTCAGACGTGCCAGGAACCCACCAAGATGGCCGAAGTTGGCTCAAAGCTGGCCCAAGACGGCCCAAGAGGCTCCCAAGAGGGCCTCCAGGAAGGCCAGAAGAGGCCAAAAACCTTGATTGTCCTAAGGTATTTGACGGATTTTGACATTTCCTCCTTTTCGACCTTCCGACGGCCCGAGACGGCCCAAGAGCCCTCAAAGATCGCCGAAAGATCGCCCAAGAGGCCTCCAAGACGGCCAAGATGACCTTCAAGATGCCCACGTGTTCCCCGAAGGCTTTCCAAACCGATTCGGGGAACACATGGTCCGATGACTTGGCAGGTCTGGCCTCAACGTGCGGCCACATGGGCGCTTCCAAAAAGGCAGGGGGCGGCGGTGGTTCACCGTAGGCGTCTTCGATCCGCCGCCCCCTTTTGATTTATCAAAGGGATGCCTGGCGTGTTAAACCCTCTCGGTTTTGGATGTGGTTCTTTTTCCAAAGAACTCCCCCTGGGGCTTCGGCCCGTCCCGCCGGCCACCTGGAAAACCCATCTCAATGCCAAAAACGGCCGTTTCGCTTGGGACATCCTCAAACAATCGCGAAGATGGCCCAAGATGGCCTCCAAGTCCGCCCAAGATGGTCCAAGGCGGCCTCCAAGACGGCCCACGAGAGTCCAAGACGGCCCAAGAGGCCCCCCATAGGCCTCCAAGACGGCCCAAGAGGCCTCCAAGAGGGCCTCCAAGAAGGCCCGAAAAGGCCAAAATCCTATATTTCCGAAGGTTTTTGAAGGATTGTGGCATTTGCTTTTTTTTTCAGCCTTCCGACGGCCCGCGACGGCCCAAGTGCCCCCAAAGATCGCCCAAGAGGCGCAAGACACGGCCCCAAGAGCTCCAAGACGCTCAAGATGGCCTCCAAGACGGTCCAAGAGCCCTCCAAGACGTCCTCCAAGAAGGCCCCTAAGGGTCAAAATGGCCTCCGGACGGCCCAGACGACCTTCAAGATGCCCACGTGTTCCCCGAAGGCTTTCCAAACCGATTCTGGGAACACATGGTCCGATAGCTTGGCAGGTCTGGCCTCAACGTTCGGCCACATAGGCGCTTCCAAAAAGGGAGGGGGCGGCGGTGGTTCGCCGTAGGCGTCTTCGATCCGCCGCCCCCTTTTAATGTATCAAAGGGGTACCTGGCGTGCTGAATCCTATCGGTTTTGGATGTGGTTCTTTTTCCAAAGACAAGCTCCCCTGGGGCTTCGGCCCGTCCCGCCGGGGTCCCGGGAGGTTTGCCACGGAGCTCGATTCCCCCAAAATCCCTCAAGACGGCTCCAGATGGCCTCCAAGATGGCCATGTTGGCCCAAGATGGCCTCCAAGATGGCCTCCAAGTCCGCCGAAGATGGTCCAAGACGGCCTCCAAGACAGCCTAAGAGAGTCCAAGATAACCCCAAGTTCGCCCAAGAAGCCTCCAAGAAGCCTCCAAGACGGCCGAAGACGCCTCCAAGGGGTCCTCCAGGAGGGCCCGAAGAGGCCGAAATCGTGGATTTTCCTTAGGTTTTTGAAGGATTTGAGCATTCGCTTCTTCGCGGCTTTCCGACGACCCAAGACGGCCCAAGAGGCCCCCAAGATCGCCCCCACAGAGCCCAAGAGGCCTCCAAGCCCCCCCCCAAGACGGCCCCAAGAGGGCACAAAGACGACCCAGAGGCCTCCAAGACGCCCATGATGGCCTCTAAGACGGCCCTGGAGCACCCCCAAATCGGCCCAGAAAGGCCCCTAAGACGGCTTCCGACGGCGTCAGACGGCCACCAAGATGGCCGAAGTTGGCTCGAAGCCGGCCCAAGATGGCCCAAGAGGCCTCCAAGAGGGCCTCCAGGAAAGCTAGAAAAAGCCAAAAGCAGTAATTTCCCATTGGTTTTTGAAGGATTTTGACATTTGCTTCGTTTCGGCCTTCCGACGGCCCGATTCGACCACGTGCCCCCAAAGATCGCCCACAAGGCCCAAGACGGCCCCAAAGATCGCCCAAAGATCGCCCAAGAGGCCTCCAAGATAGCGCCAGAACGGCCCAAGAGGCCCCCAAGACGGCCCCAACAGGCCCCCAAGACTGCCCAGGAGGCCGTTAAGACGTCCAAGATGGCCTCCAAGACGGCCCTGGAGCATTTCAAGAGGGCCCAAGTCGGCCCAGAGAGGCCCCCCAAACGGCTTCCGACGGCGTCGGACAGGCCAGGGGCCCACCAGAACGGCCGAAGATGGCACTAAGATGGCCAACGGCCCAAGAGGCCTCCAAGAGGGCCTCCAGGAAAGCTCGAAAAGGCCCAAACCCTTGATTTCCCATGTGTTGTTGAAGGATTGTGGCATTTGCTTTTTTTCAGCCTTCCGACGGTCCCGAGACGGCCCAAGTGCCCCCAAAGATCGCCCACGAGGCCCAAGACGGCCCCAAGAGGCCCCCAAGACGGCCCAAGAGGCCTCCAAGACGCTCAAAATGGCCTCCAAGACGGCCCACGAGGCCTCGAAGAGGACCTCCAGGGTCCTCAAGGCCGGCCCGAAGAGGTCAAAATCATTGATTTGCCTTAGGTTTTTGAAGAATTGTGGCTTCTGCTCCTTTTCGGCCTTCTGACGGCCCAAGACTGCCCAAGAGGCAATCAAGATCGCCCCAAGAGTGCCCAACAGGCCTCCAAGACGGCCCCATGACAGGCCAAGAGGCCCCCAAGAAGGCCCCAACAAGACCCCAACCAAGACGGCCCAAGAGGCCCCCAAGACGCCCAAGATGGCCTCCAAGACGGCCAAGATGGCCTCCAAGATGCCTCCTATACAGCGAAGAAGACCTCCAAGACAGCGAAGCTGGCCCTAAGATGCACCCAAGACGGCCCCAGATGGCCTCAAGATGGCCTTAGACTGCCCAAAATGCCCGCCAGAGGCCTCCAATACGGCCTAAGACCCCTCCAAGACGTCCTCCAGGAGGCCCGAAGGCTCGGAAACCACCTGGTCCGATTGCTCGCCCGACTCCGTTCCCCGAAGGCTTTCGAAACCCACTCGGGGAACGCGTGGCCCGATAGCTTGGCCAAGCTCAAGCCCAACTTTTGGCCACGCAGGCGCTTCCAAAAAGGCAGGGGGCGGCGGTGATTCGCCGTAGGCGTCTTCGATAGTCTTCGGCCAGTTACGCGGATGGAGGGCGGGTCGTTTCCAAATGTAGTTCTCGCTTTAGCGCCAAGCACACTCGTCTTTACACATTGCAGCGGCTTCAAGGATGAGGGGGACTCTTTTCAGACTGTGGCGCTCGCCTTCGCGCCGCGCGCGCTCGTCTTTGCTAGCCTCTTGCAGCAGTTTCAATGTTTGAAGGGGCTCGTTTTAAAAGTGGGACTCACGCCCACGCCTAAGCCTGCAGGTCTCAGCGCCGTCTGTGACCGTATCTTGCGACTGGTGGAAGCCAACATGGCTCATACTGCATTCTGGTCCGAAACTCTGGTCGGCCTTTGCCGTTGAAGCGAAGGTTCCCTTCAAGCTCGAGGTGAGACCACGCAGCCACAATCTAACCACATATGGCTCAACGGCGTGGATAGATACCCACCCTTGCCGCCAATTGTGTTCGAAAGATGGGCAAATCATCGCCGAGAGTGAAGACCATGGAGGAGCATGAGGACCATAATGAACCCAACATGTATCACCGATGCTGCAACCCACCCTCCATCCGTGCAACTGCGAACTACATCTGTGCGAAATCATGGTCGTTGATCTGAAGGCGGCTCGAACCGTGGGCCCCATTCTGAAAATGAGCCGTCCCCCACCCCTGTAGCTGTTGCGCAAGCTTTCGAAAGTCATGCGCGCGGCGCTGCGGCGAGAGCCCCGTCTTGAAAAAGAACCGTCCTCGGTCCGGGCACAATTCGCCAACCTACAAGATTGAGCAGGGACCGACCGTCCCGGCATCCCTACAGGCCTACCACGACATGCTCTTAGAACAAGAGAGTGTTCTAATAATCGAACAGTGATCTTATCACACAAAGCCGATGCACTAAAACAAGACCGTCCCAGCCAAACATGTTTCCGGTGCAAGCCGCAAGCGGGTCCTAAGAACACTCTTCGGTGGGCCTAAAGGCAAGCCAGGACGCTCCGCCACTGCTAAAAGAAAATCGAAGGTGCACGGCGCTCGCACTCTGAAGAAGGAGCCGCCCCCGCCACCGGGCCGTTTCCCGGCGGCCCCCCTCCCCTCAGCGGCCCAACAAGGGCTCCCCTGGGGAGGCCGAAGACGGCCCAGAGCCTCCCGCCGTGGGCTCCCTTCCACTGCTGGAGGAGCCCCCCCTGCTTGGGAAGAAGTCCCCTCCTCGCCCCTCCATCTCCCCTCCCCTCCTCCCCCTCTCTCCCTCCCCTCCCCTCCCCATCCTCTCCCCCCTCTCTCCCCCCCCTCTCCCCTCTCCCCTCCCCTCCCCCGTCGCTCCCCCCCCCCCGGCCCCCGGGCGCGCCGCGACGCCGCGGCGTCACACGCACAGGGCGCCGATCCGCGCGCGCGGCGCGGGCCTCAGCGGGCGCGGCACGTCGTCGCTCGAGACCGACCACCCGTCGCTGCTCGTCTGCCGCACGGCGCTGCCGTGGCCCGCGCGCGGCAGCCGAGCGAGCCCCTCGCGCGGGAGGGCGGCCAGCCGTGAGCGGGGGCCGAGCTGTGCTCTCTCACTGCCCGCCCTGCCGCGGCCTCCTGCCACGGCCTCATCCCAAGCCTCCTCCGCCTCCTCCTCCTCCTCCTCCTCCTCCTCCTCCTCGCCCTCCTAGTCCTCTCTCCTCCTCCTCCTTCCAGCTCCCTCCTCCTCCTCCTCCTCCTCCTCCTCCTCCTCGCCCTCCTAGTCCTCTCCTTCTCCTCCTCCTCCTCCTCCTCCTCCTCTTCCTCCTCCTCCACGTTCCCCTATTCCTCCTCTGCCCACCCCCGCTGAGACGACACGCGGGCTCCTGATCGTGGTGCGCTGCACTGTGCGGGGCCAGGCATCCTCGCGTCGTCACGAAATCACGACGGGATTTGTTCGTCCAATTTTCGGACTCTGGGGGTCCATACAGTCGGGGCGTTGACCTAAGGAACCCTAAATAAGGAACGAGGCCCCTTTTGTTCCACAAGTTAAATTGCCCCAGTGCGACCCTACCTAGAAGTTGGAGCCCCTAGAAAAGCAGCATTAGTTGCTATGCTATGCTATGCTATGCTATGCCATGCTATGCTGCGCACTGCTTGCGGGGGCTCCGGGCCGGCCATCGAGGCTAGCTCGGCATATGTCGCACATTGCTTTTGCTTTGCCTTTCCTTTGCTTTGCTTTTGCTTTTGCTTTGCTTTGCTTTGCGTTGTGTGTGCTTTGTTTTGCTGTCGCTGATGTTGCTTTGCCTTTGCTTTGCTGCTATGCTATGCTAGTGCTGCGCTATGCTGTGCTATGCTATGCTATGCTGCGCTATGCTATGCTATGCTGGGCTATGCTATGATACGCTGTGCTGCGCTATGCTATGCTACGCTATGCTATGCTGTGCTGTGCTCGGCTATGCTAAAGCTCAGCGAAGCTAAGATGAAGGTAAGCTAAGCTAAGATAAACCTGAGCTAAGATGAAGCTAAGCTAAGCTACGATGAAATAAGATAAGCTAATATGAGATAAGCAACGCTAAGCTAAGGGGACGTAGCTGGGGGAACCGCGGGGCGGATGCTGGGGGAACCGCCCGGGGCGCGTTCCACTGCTCGGCCCCTTTAAGCTAAGAGAGTACGAACCCTTCTAGGCAGAGCCTAGGTATGCTATGCTATGCTGCGCTAGGCTTTGCTATGCTAGGCTATGTTATGATATGCTATGCTGCGCTATGCTATGCTATGCAATGCGATGCTATAATATGCTATGCTATGCTATGATGCGCTGTGCTGTGCTAATCCATGTTATGCTAAGCTATGCTAAGCTATGCACTACTGTGCTATGTTATGTTATGTTGTGCTGTGCTATGCCATGCTATGCCATGCTACGCTAAGCTAAGCTACATTAGGCTAAGCTAAGCTCAGCTAAGCTAAGCGAAGCCAAGCTAAGCTAAGCTAGGCTAAGCCAAGCTAAGCTAAACCAAGCTAAGCTAAGACGAGATAAGCTCAGCCAAGCTAAGGGGGCGCTATGCTAAGCTATGCTAAGCTATGCTATGCAACACTGTGCTATGTTATGCTATGCTGTGCTATGCTATGCCATACTATGCTATGCTACGCTAAGCTAAGCTACATTAGACTAAGCTAAGCTAAGCTAAGCTAAGCCAAGCTAAGCTAAGCTAAGGTAAGCCAAGCTAAGCTAAGCTAAGCTAAGCCAAGCTAAGCTAAGCCAAGCTAAGCTAAGACGAGATAAGCTAAGCCAAGCTAAGGGGGCGCGACTGGGGGAACCTCGGGGCGGGGACTGGGGGAACCGCCCGGGGCGCGTTCCACTGCCCGGCCCCTTTAAGCTAAGAGAGTAAGAACCCTCTAGGCAGAGCCTAGGTAGGGAACTTTGATTTCCGATCAAAAACATAAGGAAAACCTGAGGCGAGCTGTGAAACAATCAAGGAACACGGAGCCCCTCCCCAACGAAAAGGGTTCCTTCTTCAAGACCCCTACTGTACTGGGCCCGCGGGGTGGTCGCCAAACGGCTCGGGACGACGCGCCGGTCCGCGGGAAGGGGCCCAGACTGAAGGGGCCCCAGGACACACAAACAAATACACACAAATAAGAATATTCCCCATATTCTCCTATATTTCCTGGGTGTCTGTCTTCCCCCCACTTCCCATATTTTCCCATATTTTCTGGGGAATCGAGGATTCATTGTGTCTGTGTGCTTTTTCCTCTCCTGACAGACCTCTGGGGAACCACCTGGTGAAAACGCCACAATGTCAGACGTCTGGGCAGGGGGGGGCACCAGCACAAGGACCGTTTGGTCGTGCTTGCTTTGTCACGTCCTCCCGATCCAGGGCGCCGAAGAGGGGAGCCCAGGTAGAGGGGGGCAGAAGAAGAGGGGGGGTTGTTCAGAGGAAGAATCGGGCGGGTGGTACTGGGGGTTGACCAACATGGGGAGTGAAGAAAGAGGCCCTAAAAGGGCCCCTTCGGGCCCCGTTTGGGCCCCTGCTGGCTTCAGAAGGGGTCCTGAAGGGGCTCTTCACAAGGGCTTTTCTTCACCCCCCCACTTGGGTCACCCCCCAGCACCACCCGCCCGAGAGAAAGGGCCGTGACGTCGGGGAGATGTCATGCCCGCGGCCGCGGTGTCTCTCCCGCCACCACGGCCGAGACATGGCCACGAAGGCGCGAGCCCCGTCGCCGAAGGCCAGAGGCCCCAGAGATGGCGCAGCTCGCAGAAACGAAGAACAGCAAGGGCCGGCCCTAAGGCCCAAGCGAAGAGAGCCCCACGCTCTTCGTTTGGGCCTTCGGCGCGAACTGTCCGTGGCGCTGGGCCGAAGGCCCAGACGAAGAGCGTTCTGGAGCGAAGATCGCAAACACGAATAGCATGAGGGCCGCTGTTGGGCAGGCGGCCTTCTGTCTCAAACGGACACAGCCGCGGCGGTGCGGACAGCAAGTCCTGTTCAAAATGATCAGGAACTGCTGTTGGGCATTGTACCAATTCTTTCCGTACCCTTTTCGTTCGTGCCGAGCAGAGGGAAAAAGGGGGGGAAAGGGGAGGGGGGGAAATATGCGGGAAAGGAAACGAGACGAAGTTGTCGCAGGCGGAAGCGAGACGAAGTAGTCGCAAACACGAAGGGCACACGTCTCCAGAGAGAGAGTGCTGTTCTGAACCCTGGTGCCGGCTGTCGCCCCGGCTCCCCCCTCCGACGCCCCCGCCCCGCGGCGCCATCGTGGCCGCGGCATGGGCCCGCCCCAGCATGTGCGGCAATATCCCGGAGGGTTCCACAGGGGGTTTTTGGGGGAGGGGGTTTTCCAGAAGGGGTCTTTGGGGAAGGGGGCCGAGGCCACCCCCTGCGGGGGCTCTCTGGAACACCCCCTCCCCCCCCAAACCCCCTGTGGAACCCTCCGGATATTATATATATATATATTATATATATGTGTATATATACATATATATATATGTGTATATATATATATACATATATATACACATCTATATATATATATATATATATATATCCCCCTGAGGGAGAAGTCCGAAGCCCCTGGGGGGCTCTCTGGAAAACCCCCTCCCCCCCCCAAAAAACCCTTTGGAACCCTCCAGAGAGCCCCCTGTGGGCGAGCAGCGACATATGTACAGTACATGTACGCCCTCCACGGTCTTGCCTGCACGAACGTCCGCGTTGACACGCACTCCAGGGGAAACTGACCGCGTACGTGTACATATGTTGCTGGCCTCTGACCTGAGGGAGAGAGGTCCTGGCACAGACCTGCGACGCGGGGGAGAGAGCGCACTGCTGCTGCTTGCCTCGCTGCGGCCTCCCGAGGCGCCCCCGAGCCGGGTGGTGCCAAAAAGGCGCCCTGGCCCCAGCGTGAGGAGGAGGAGGAGGAGGAGGAGGAGGAGGAGGAGGAGGAGGAGGAGGAGGGGGAGGAGGGGGAGGAGGGGGAGGAGGCCCAGACGGCCTGCAGCGCACCCCTCACGAGGCCCGGAGGACCCTTGCAGCGTGGCGCGAAACGCTGGGGGCGCCTGGGGCCAAGGACACCTTTGGCAACCCCAGATCGTCGCCCCACGGCCGGGTCCGCCCCAGAACGCTCTCCAGAGTCTGCACCCTGGGGAAGTCACGGTGTCGATGCGTGACCCACGGGTGCACAACAGCGCAAGTGGTTGGAGAACTTTCGGACACCGGGGACCGTAACACATATTTGCTTCGGCCAAACCCCACCATAGAGCTGATACGAATGATTTCGAAGTCTGCCACGTGCGATGCTCCAATGTTTTATGTTACGAAATTCAATACGAGAGGCCGTTGCACATAATACAAAATACGTGCACTGGTTGTGGGCGCGTATGTGTCACGTGCTAGTGCGCGTTTGCTGTACGGTGTATGCATGTATGCTCGTGCTGCATGCGCGTGTCCTTCATACACGCTCGCTTTTCGAACATGCATGCTGTTGATTCACCAATCAGTGCTTGCACTGAAGGGGTCCTCGCGGATGTTGCTAGAGTTGGCGAAAGTGCCTCGCCGATTTTGGTGTCAGGCTGGGTTCCCGGGTTCCCGGTTCCAGGTTCCCGGCATCCCGGGTTCCTGGTCATTGGTTCTGGGCCGATGGTTCACTACCAATCTCACTGTCGAAATCAATTCAAATCTCATTGGTTCCCGGGTTCCCGGTTCCGGGTTCCCGGGTTCCTGATCCTGGGTTCCGGGCCGATGGTTAACTATCGATCTCACTACCGATCTCACTGTCGAGTTCATTACGGATCTCATTCAACCGACCTAAAGTACTAGTCCCACTACCGATCTCAATATCGACAGATCGTCCCCTTTATCGATCCCACAATCGATCGAACGACCTTTGTGTCGGTCTCACTATCGATCTCAATATCGACATATCGTCCCCACTATCGATCTCACAATGATCCCACGATCGATCTCGCGATCGAATTTACTATCGATCTCACTACCGATCTCACGGTCAAGTAGGATTATGTAAAGGATAATGTAAAGGAGGAGGAGGAGGAGGAGAGGAAGAGGATAATGACGAGAACAAGGAAGAGGAGGACGAGGAAAATGAGGAATGAGAAGTGGAAAAGGAGAACCACAACGACGTTGACGAGGAGAACGACAATGACCAGGAGGACGAGGACGAGAAGGAGGAGGAGGACATGAATGAGGCCGAATAAGTGAAGGAGGAGGACTACGACGAGACATGACCGCGGGGATCTCGCACAAGGTCCAACACTTTGGCGCAAAGCGCACGTTGATTCTATTGCTTTCGACAGAGATGGTGGATCGGAGTCGACTTTGCCCGACTCATGTGCGGGATGGAGGGTTCTTTGAATAAGGAGCTCAGACAAACCCGTCCCCGAAGGAAAACCAGGAAATGAGGACAGGAAGCATTTACTACACCACTTACGCATACAAGGTTGTTGGAACTCTACAACGGCATTTGCTCATACACCATGTCCCTGCTACCTAGCCATCGTTCATGTGCTTCGCCGGACAGGTTGGGCCTGTTTATGCATCGTCGCAATGCTTCTATGGCGTTAGGACGCACGCGCTGTTCCGTCTAAGAGCCAGTTCCTGTATATTCGCATGTTTATGTTCGTGATTGTACGAGTCCACTTCGCGAATATCCACATGCCTTGCGGCAAATAAAACCGCCGCGCCATCATAACCATCAACGAAGACCCAATGTCAACGATGGTGATGATGATGACCAGGATGATGATAATGACCTTGTTAACGATGATACTGCTGCTGATGACGGTTCTCCTCATGATCATGACGATGCACGGGAATGCTGATGACATTGGGCGTTGGCAAGAAGATGCATAAGAGAAGCGCCGTTGCATCCTTCACCTCTCGACCACATTTCTGGGAGCTCATTCGGGCCGTCCCAGGGTTGTTCCAAGCTATCGTGGACCAGTCTTGAGACTCAAGTGACCCGTCTTGGGACCCTCTTCGCCGTCTACTCGGTCTCTTCGGGCAGTCGCGGGGCTGTATTCACACCGCATTGGGCCCTCGACGGGCCCTCTGAGATCGTTTATCCTCTTGAACCGCTTCGAACCGACGAATGCCCGAAAAGGCGAGAATACCTCAACCCTCTTCGAGACTGGAACGCCTGCTCGATTTCCAGTCCACCCACTGATTGGGTTTCTTCTCTGATATTATGTGTATCCAATATGTGAGTTTACCCATGCAGCTGTCATTCCTGTGGGTGCCTGGTGTTAAGCACATGGTGTCACAATGGCGCAGCTCTTGCGAACACATGCTTTAAAGACATGGATTGATGCACGCATGGGATGCCTTTAAACTGCTGGAGTATGACATTGATGCATGCTCTCGACAGATGGGAATGACGCTGGCGTGCGCAATTGTGAAACGTGTTACTGACATAGTACAGGTCTGCGATGTTGATGCATGGTGATGGCGTATGTTACTGTTGTATGCTGCTGGTGTCATGCTGCTGGTGTCATGCTGCTGAGTTCCGTTCACGACGAATGGTATTGATGTCTTCTAGTGGCGTCTAGGATTCATGGCTGCTATTGGCGCGTGTTCTTAGTGTCTTCGTGGTGTCCGTTCTTGAGTCAATGTCCTGGCAGATGAACGTGATGCAGGTTAGTGATGTGCAGTATTTAGTGGTTACCAATATGGAATGCTCTTGATGCATGCTCCTGGCGCTTGTGATTATGTCCGGTAACGTTGTGCACTTCTGGTGTGCGGTATGTGTGCATGGTGTTTGCGCATGTCCTTGTTATACGACATATAATACTGGCAACTGCTACTGACGTATGACAGTAAAGTATATTGACGCCACTTCTTTACGTACGTTTCGTTCTTGGTGATAATGCTGCCTGTTGTCCAGATTGACTGTATGGCAATTCTTGGTTCATAAAAAACGGGTGTGTGTTCTTGACGCCCGTCCGGAATGTGTCCTTGATGTCTGTTGTTGATGCACATGGATGCATGTGCTTGGTGCGAGTTCCTGGTGCTTGTCCTGATGTATGTACTTACTCCATGGCCTCGGGGCAATTCCTTGATGCCTGCTGCTGATGTCTATTTCTTGATGTCTGTTCTCAATGTCTGCGGACTGGGCATTGTGACCCACGGACGGCGTGAAGCCGTGACGCCTCCCTGGTGGGGCTCGGCGAGGCGGAATCCCCAGGGATCACCCGGGAGTATTCGGGCCTGGCGGCCTTGGTATGCTAAGCGGGCGATGTGGGTCGGGAGGTCTTCTTTTAAAACCTAGCAGCATCTTGCCGGTTGGGGAACAACGAAAAACTGGCAACCGGCAAGGAACCGAAGTTCTGGGGCCCGCGGATCAAATAATCCACGACGTTGGGGCGCCGGGTCCTGGGCCAAGCTCCATGAAAAGCGCTTTCCTGGCTAAGCCAGGTTTTCGGCGTACTGGCAAGGTTTGGGGCTGCGCACAGACAGCCCCAATAAGAAACTCAGAAATTCAGACTGACCTCGCTCAAAAGGCTCCTTGAGTCTGGCCGACTCCTGCAGCGGCCCAAAGTACCGAATTATATCTCACTGGAAACTCGGGCAAATCTGATTCAAACCGTGCTTTTTGTTGTCAAGAAAAAACGCTACCCGCACACTATCAGAACGCTATGGTGGGAACAATAATTGGAATACCGATCGGCAAACGATGTTTAGGTTGCCCCAGCGGGTCTAGGACTCATAATAGCCTCCATTGGTTGTCCGATTTCCCAGGTGCCTTCCGGAGCTGCATGTGCGTAACCTCCGAGCTGGCAACGGTGCGTGTTGTAAGCCAATATTGAGCCTAGGCTGAGCCTGGCATAAAACGGCGGGGGTGTGTACGGCAAGCTCGTTTCGTGACTACGTCGTCGTTGGTTTCTGACATCGCGTGAAGCCTCCAACCTTGAACGATCGCGCTCTCCCGACAACGCAGGTCGTTCGATACCGGTCGAATGCAGGCCAACGGGGGTGTTTGATCACATCGTGGACCCGCTGACGTCTGCACCGCTCCCCCAGGGATGGTTTCGCACAGCGAACTGGTATGTGTCGGTCCCTGGGCCTGGCCAAGGGCCCTCGAGGCCGAAGAACACCCAAAACCGCCCGTCGTGATCTCCCTTGACGAAAGCAATCGGGCGTGGCTTAATGGGGGGGTCACAAATGGGGGGGTCAGAAAAGGTCCCCTTTCGTGCCCCTTTCGGGCCCCTCCAGAGCCCCAGGGGGCTCGTTTAGGTACCATTTGGGTACCTTTTCGGACCACCCTCGCCACCCCCCCATTTATGACCCCCTCATTACGCGGCGCCCAAAGCAAATCTAGGTGTCTGGGTCACGGGGGCAAGCGGGGGCAATCTGGCAAACGGGGGCAATCTGGCGAGGGAGCCAACGCGAATCCAGTCTGGCGAATAACCCAAATCATCCAGTTTGGCCAGGCCAGATTGGCCCTTGGGGCCCCATCCAATCTGACAGTCTGGCCTTCGACTACCCAGCTACTCCAGATTTCGTAATAAAAGGGAGGGGCTCTGGACCCCCCAAGACAAGCCATTTCAGACCCCCCCCCGTGGGAGAACCCTCCAAAACATCGTCCCCAGACCCCCCCAGGCCCTCCAAGATAGCCTGGAAGAGACCCCCCCCGAAATGAGACCCCCTCCCTTTTATTACGAAATCTGGAGTACCCAGCTAGGTGTCCAGGTCCGGCGATGACGTCGCCGCCGCGACGACGGGGCGCCAAGCTGCGGCAATTCTTCCGGCCGCGGCGCGCCTCGGCCACGAGGAGGCTCCCCGACCACAGCTGCGCAAGGAACGGCCCGCAGCCCTCCGCCCCTTCGGAACCCAAGTGGTCCTCCTCCGCCTCCTCCTCCTCCTCCTCCTCCTCCTCCTCCTCCTCCTCCTCCTCCTCCCCTCCTCCTCCCCCTCCTCCTCCTCCTCCTCCTCCTCCTCCTCCTCCTCCTCCTCCTCCTCCGATCCAGCGTCTTGGCTTTGCCCCTCTTGCCGTGGACTCGGGCCGCGCATCGGGCGTCGCAGTGCGGCGAGCAGTAGCGCACCCGGGGCGTGTGCAGAGCAGGGAGGCGGCTTCTCTGCAGAGGAGGAGGAGGAGGAGAGGAGGAAGAGGAAGAGAGGAGAGGAGGAGGAGGAGGAGGAGGAGGAGGAAGAGGAGGAGGAGGAGGAGAAGCTCCTGGCCGCCATCGTGAGCTGCTCCTCTTGGGCAGGTAAGGGGATCGCGCCAGACATCGACAGTCCGCACTCCCCAGATCTCTGGCGTCGTGATTTCCCCAAAAAGTGGACCCCTGGAGGTCTCGACCCATTCCCGTGGACCAATTCTGCGAACTGTTTTTGACGGCCCCGGGCCCAGCGAAGGCCCGCGGAAGCTGAAAAAGAGGCCGAACCTCACGTCGGGATGTTCTTGTCTGACGAGAAGAAGTGGCGGTCACAGACATGCCAAGGAGTCGAAACAACCTGTTGTTGCAGCATTCCCGATCACGCCCGTGACCGCCCGCCCCCCCCCCCCCCCCCCCCTCTCCCCCCACATCCCCGGTCACGTCACGATTCGCGCTGGCCCCCCTGGAAATTAGCCATTTCCCAGACGGCGCGAATCAAGACGTGACGAGCCCCCCATTCCCCCTCCCTGTCACGCCCGTTATCGGCCAGATTCCACCGCGGGGGGCCACTTTCAGTACACAGAAACCACGCCCCAGGGAAGGGATTTTGTATACCAGACCCACACCCAGGACCCTCGCTCGCCTCCCGGGGCTTTTTGGGTGTAGTGTGCAAATTGTTCGGGCGGCTCTGAGCAGAGCAGATCGCAAGAATGGCCTCGTGGGCGCGGCCGCCCCCCTCCGAACCGTGGCTTCTGGATGTAACATACAATTTTTCCGGGCGGATCCGAGCAAATCACCAGAAAGGCCACCAGACAGGCCTAGTGGGCGCAGCCCCCCCCCCCTGAGCTGTGGCTTTTGGGTGTAGTATGTACTATTCTACGGGCGGCTCCGAGCGGAGCAGATCACCAGAGCGGCCTCGTGGGCGCAGCCCCCCCCCCCTCGAGCCTGCGCGACCCCGCGCGAGCGCAGGGACTGGTGCGCCGTGTGGCCGGGAGCGGCGGCGCCCCCACCGCGCGGGCTGCTCACCTCGGGGCGGGCAGCAAGCTTTCCACACATGCACCGAATGCACTCACACTCACATCTATATATCTATATATATACACATACATACACATATACATACATATAAACATGTGTGCTGTATATAGTATACGCATACAGGTGTGTATACACATAGAAGAGGTTTATGCAGATATCTGTTTAGCTGCCCCGATACGCAACACGCAGCACGCAGCGCGTGGACACGGAGCTCAACACGCAGACTGAACACGTGGGCCTGGCAGGATACTTTCGCCCACACGTGAACCACTACGTGCCGAGCCAACACGCAGCGCGTCAGCACAGACGGCTTGAACACGGTGTGTGCTGCGTTTCAACACGGGCGTCTAAGGGCAGCTGCGAGAATGTGTGTCTCAGCGCATGTTTGTGTACTCCAGATTTCGTAATAAAGGGAGGGGGGTCTCATTTCGGGGGGGGTCTCTTCCAGGCCATCTTGGAGGGCCTGGGGGGTCCGGGGACGATGTTTTGGAGGGTTCTCCCACGGGGGAGGTCTGAAAGGGCTTGCCGTGGAGGGTCCAGACCCCCTCCCTTTTGTTACGAAATCTGGAGTGTCTTTTATGTGGCGGCGTCTGGGAACCCTCGGCACAATCGGGTTGCCACCTCGTGGCAAACAGCTGTCTGCTGCCTCCCGCTTCCGCAGGCCTCCCGCCGGCTTGGCTTCCGCCAGCGGAGCCGGACACCCGTTTTGCTTCCGCTGCCTTCCGCCGGCCTCCCGCAGCGGGGGGCGGCGGGGTGGAGCCGAAGGGGACGCCGCGGAGGCCAGCGAGGATCGGGTCTTCCTCGAGAAACAGTACTCCAGCTTCCGTAATAAAAGGGAGGGGGTCTGGACCCTCCAAGACAAGCCATTTCAGACCTCCCCCGTGGGAGAACCCTCCAAAACATCGTCCCCGGACCCCCCAGGCCCTCCAAGATGGCCTGGAAGAGACCCCCCCCCGAAATGAGACCCCCCTCCCTTTACTACGAAATCTGGAATACAAAAAAGCAAATGAGAGAACGCGCTTCGTGGACGCTTGCCCGGAAGGAGCACCTGGACACGTTGATGCCAAGGGGGGTGTCCCAAACACCCTGAACACCCCTGGAGAACTAGGGTGCCCCCCCCCCCCTGGACACGGGCCTCCCTGACCAGGGGGAGCCCCCCTCCCCTCCAGGGGGGAGGGGGGCGTTCGAACCGAGGGGACGCCCCGCCTGCCCAAAGGAGGGGGCTCGAACCAGGGAGCGGGGGCCCACCTGAGTTGCAAGGGGGAGGGGGTTCGAACCGGGGGGGGGGGGGCGCTGTCCAGGGGGGGGGGGTTCGAATCGGGGGGAGCCCCCCCCCCCTGAGTTACTTGCAAAGGGGGGCGTTCGAACCTGGGGGGCGGGCCCAGGGGGGTGTCAACGGGGGGGGGCTCGAGCCAGGTGGACGGCCGTCGTCGTCGTCGTCGTCGTCGTCGTCGGCGTCGGCGTCGCCGTCGTCGTCGGCGTCGTCGTCGGCGTCGGCGTCGACGTCGTCGTCTTCGCCGCCCGACGGCGTCGGCGCCGGCGCCCAAAGGAGGGGATCCCCCGGTTCGAACCCCCCCCTTGCAACTTAGGGGGCGGTGGGGCTGTGCGCGTCGCCGTCGCCGTCACCGTCGCCGTGCCCGTCGCCGTCGCCGTCTCCGTCGCTGTCGCCGTCGCCATCGTCGTCGTCGTCATCGTCGTCGTCGTCGTTGCCGCCGCCGTCGCCGTCGCCGTCGTTGTCGCCGTCGCCGTCGCCGTCGCCGTCGCCGTCGACGTCGACGTCGCCGTCGCCATCGCCGTCGCCGTCGCCGTCGCCGTCGCCGTCGCCGTCGCGTTGCCGTCGTCGTCGCCGTCGCCGTCGCGTCGCCGTCGTCGTCGTCGTCGTCGTCGTCGTCGTTGCCGCCGCCGTCGCCGTCGCCGTCGCTGTCGCCGTCGCCGCCGTCGCCGTCGCCGTCGTCGACGTCGCCGTTGCCATCGCCGTCGCCGTCGCCGTCGCCGTCACGCCGTGCCGTCGTCGTCGCCGTCGCCCGCCGTTGCCGTCGCCGTCGCCGTCGCCGTCGCCGTCGTCCGTCCGTCACCATCGCCGTCGCCGTCGCCCGTCGCCATCGCCGTCGCCGTCGCCGTCGCCGTCGTCGTCGCCGTCGCCGTCTTCGTCGCCGTCCCCGTCGTCGCGTCGTCGTCGTTGCCGCGCCGTCGTCGCCGTCTCGCGTCGCCGTCGCCGTCGACGTCGATCGTCGTCGTCGTCGCCGTCGCCGTCGTCGTCGCCGTCGCCCGTCTTCGTCGCCGTCGCCGTCGTCTTCATCGTCGTCGTCGTCGTTGCCGCCGCCGCCGCCGCCGTCGCCGTCTCTGTCGTCGCCGTCGCCGTCGCCGTCGCCGTCGACGTCGACGTCGCCGTCGCCATCGCCGTCGCCGTCGCCGGCGCCGTCGTCGTCGCCGTCGCCGTTGCCGTCGTCGTCGCCGTCGCCGTCTTCGTCGCCGTCGCCGTCGCCGTCGCCGACGCCGTCGCCGTCGCCTTCACCGTCGCCGTCTCTATCGCTGTCGTCGTCGCCGTCGCCTTCGCCATCCCCGTCGTCGTCGCCGTCGTCGGGGATCTTCTGACCTGGGTCAGTCCAGACCCGGGTCAGCAGGAAACCAAAAACTGCAATGCAGGAAAAAAAAGCTGCAACGCAGGTCCTCGCAAACCCAGGTCAGCCAATATGCAAGGCCGCCTCGCGGCCACGAGCGGCTCGCATACCCGGGTCAGCCAGAGGGCGCAGGATCCTGCAGGATCCGGCGCCCTGGCTGACCCCCGTTTGCACTGACCCCCGTCTCGAGGCTCCCAACGTCGTCGTCGTCGTCGCTGCCCGGCGGCGCTGGCGCCAGCGCTGGCGTCGTCGTCGTCGTCGCAGCCGCCGCCGCCGCCGCCACTGCCGCCGCCACCCACGTCGTCATCGTCGTCGTCGTCGTCGCCCGACGGCGACGGCGCTGGCGCTGGTGCTTGCTGGAGGGTGGGGGCCCCTCGTCGTCGCTGCCCTACGGCGCAGGCGCAGGCATTGGCGCTCGCCATCGTCGGTTGAACGCGGGAAGGAGCCCTCCCGGTTGAACCCCCCCCCCTGCAGCTCAGGGCCCCGCACCCCCACCCCGGCTCGAACCCCCCCCCCTTGGATAGAGCGGGGGGCCCCCCCCAGTTCGAACCCCCCCCCCCCTCCCTTGGACAGAGGGGTCCCCCCTCCGGTTCGAATCGCCCTCGTTGCAACTCCAGGGGAGCCCCCCACGGGTCGAACCCCCTCTACCCTCTTCTGGCTCGAACCTCCCCCCCTGCATCTCAGGGGGTGGATGGGCCCCCCCCCGGTTTGAACCCCCACCCCTTCCCGGCGTCTACAAAACGCGCTCTTTCACACATGTTAGCCAGCGTCGACCCCAAACTAAAGGCTACTATTGCAATCTACGCGGTGCAATATATGTGGTGCAATTGATTTTAACAAACGAGTTGACACATCCCGCGCTCTTGCAAACATCCCACCCACCCAACCGCAACTTGGTTTGCAAAACCTCTTAAGACCGACTACGACGACACCGACGACAACGACTACGACGACACCGACGACGTCTCCGACGACTTCGACGACGACGACAACGACGCCCACGCCGACGACGACGTCGACGAAGACGGCGACGACATCGCCAACGAAGAAAACGACGAGGGAGGAGGAAGGACGACGACGGCGACAACGACGACAATGACGACAACGACGAGGGAGGAGGGAGGACGGCGACGACGCGAACGACGAAGAAGGAGGAAGGACGGCGACGCCGACGACGACAACGACGAGGGAGGAGGGAAGACGACGACGACGACAACGACGACGACGACGACGACGACGGCGACGAAATAGGAGGGGACGACGAGACGACGAGACGACGACGACGACGGACGACGACGACGACGACGACGACGACGGACGAGGAGGATGAAGGACGACCACGGCGACAACGACGACGGAAACGACCACGACGCCAAAGAGGACGACGACGACGAACACGAGGAAAGACAGAGGACGACGTAGACGACGACGACGACGACGCGGGAGGAGGGAGGACGGCGACGACGACGACGACGACGACGCAAGAGCGCGCGCGCACGCTTTTGTTGAAAATCCGTGTTGCGAAACCCTGTGATTTTTTTAAAAATGTTTTTTGGACACACGATATTGAAATCCTTCCGAAGCCGATGGGTTTTGAAGGTTTTCGGCATACGCTCGCGACGACGCGCGCGTCTGCACTTCGTCCCATTTTTTGATGGGGATTCTCGCGACGGCACGCGCGCGAGGGCGTTCGAAAGACTTCGACATGCGCGCGCGCGCGAAGCCCGTTTGGCAGCATTTTGTGAAAATCTTGAAAAACCTATGGTTTTCGTGAGATTTCGCAAGAGCTCGCGCGGAAGCTTTTTTAGCAAATCAGTGTTGCGAAACCCTGTGGTTTTGTATGTTGTTGTTTGAAACTCGATTGCGAAATCCTTCCAGCACCGAAGGTTCTTGAAGGATTTCGGCATGCGCGCGCGACGACGCGCGCGTGTGCACTTCGTCTCATTGTTTGCAAGGGATTTGTGAAAAAGTGTTATGTTAGAACAAAAACTCTCCCCGCGTATCGTTTTTTACAAGGGAACCTCAGGGGGCCGATCCCGGCCCCTCCGGGATAGTGTAAATTCATATGTCGGATGGACCTGTGGTCAGAATCATATATGATTTACATACCCGAAAGGGGGGAATAACGCCGGGGGGGTAGAGTCTACTGTCCTTTGAGAAAAGAAAACTAATTCACTTTCACTGTCTTGAAGCTGTCCTCTCCACTGCTCGTGCAAACATCCCACCCTCCCACTCGCAACTTGGTCGCAAGACCTCTTAAGACCGCGACGGTAGGTACCAGATGGCACTTGGCAACGACACCGACGCCGACGACGACGACAGCGACAACGACGACGACGCCGCCGACACCGCCTACGACGACACCGA